GGGTGTTTGCCCCTGGGGCTGCGGGGGAGCCGCTGGCCGTCAGCAGCCGAGACCCCCATCACGTAATAAAACGGAGGGGGCTGTCAAACCCTGCGTGTTGCCGCTTTCATAAGTAATGCAGTGGAAGCAGAAGAGAGTGAGGTGGCACATTTTTCTGATGATAGTGTGAAAATCACCCATTGCTTCTCACGTTTGAAATTGATTTGCCTTTTTATCTCCGACTCCAGAAAGATTTCTAAATTGTAACAGCAGTGCATGTCAAATATCAATAGGGTAGTACAAAGAATCAGGAAAGAAATAAGGATCAACACAAAAAAAATAATCCTCTGAAAATACTGTATAGTACAGACTGTACCCAGATCTTCAATACTGTGTGGTTTGGGCTCCCTCTGTTATAAAAAGGTACAGTGGAATTGGAAGAGAGAAAAACAGAGAGCCAGGGATGCTTAAGGTGAAGACAGTGATTGGGACAGGAAAAGAGTAAGCTTTTGGGGGAATGGAGAGGGAATGTTAAAGGTCTGCTAAATGACAAACAATAGGGAAGTAAATAAGGAATAATGTTAATATGTAATGGAGAGAGTTCGCTGGAGCAATCCTGCCGGTCTTTGTACAACAGCTTGCTCATTTAACAGCTGATGGTGCTTCTTCTGATGTGGGAGTTCTGAGGCCCAATGAGGAGGTACAATTTTTAGATTCCAAGTTTAAGTCAAGTAAACGCTGATTTAAACTGGAGGATTCATTCCTGCATATTCTGCTGAAAGTTTACATGATTCAAACAATTGTTAAAAATATTCACGTAAGGAAAATTTTTTAAGAGCCTGTTAATAACAGTCTGTGACCCAGCAGTGGGAGTTCACTATATATTTGTCATGGCTGTAGACCTTCCTGATGGAGAAAGGATATTGGACCAGACTGTTCATCTTGTCTAGTATGACCATTCCCAGGTGTCGTGGTTTGGCAGGACACCAGGTTTTATGTTTCACAATATTAGAACTCGGCAGTGTATTGGTTATTGATTCTAAGCTGCTTTAGTAGTTTACGGCAGTTTTTTGTTACTGAGACCAGTTTAGATTTGGTTGCTGTTCCTTGCTCACTCTGGGCAATTTGGAAGAGAGACATCACTGGGGGAAGCGGTGGCAGTTTTTCATTGATGTTTTCTTAAATATTAAACAAAATTTTAAAAGATCAGGTTTTGATATCTTCAATTCAATTGTTCTCTGTACAGTCATAGGTCAGTAAGCTACTCTGAGCGAGGCAACGTTTAAGTAGTTTGCTTAGTGTGAGTTCTGCGTGGTACAGATTTTTGGACTGAAGAGAGTAGCTGGAGACCCTATTTTGTTTTTCTTGAATGTCTGATACTTTTTTGTTCCACTTTGGTTTAGCGAAAAAGTAGAAGCTCAAAAGAATCCCTTTAAAATGTATGTTTTCATCTTTTAGAAGCAGAATTGATACTGCTGGTTTTGTTTTTAAAATTGGAAGCTAAGTCTTTCCTGTCTTGTTTCAGCTCTGGATGAAGGAGATATTGCCTTGCTGAAAACCTATGTAAGTAACATACATACACAAGATTGTAGAAGAAAAAAAAAGTTCTATTAGGAATTGAAGAAAGAGTGGAAGGTTGTGTGTTTAGTGAGTTGTTAGTAAATATGCTTGTCTCTCCTGCCAAAATCTTTTGTCCCTTTCTGCTTCCAATGTGAAAGCCCCAAACCCAACCCACAACCCTAGAAATAATCTGGTAGTTTTGTTAGCTTAGAACTAATGAAGTATTTCTATTTTTGCTTTGTGTCTGTCATTGAGGTCTAATATCTAGAGCTTTACTGGGGCTCTTTCACAACCAATTTTCTTGCTTCAAAAATAACAGTATCTTTAAGATTGCTTCTCCCGTCAAATTTATTTGCTTTTAGCCATGATGTTAAAAAACTGTTAGTGAGGGATACATGGACCTTGTCAAAGAGAATGTAATCTCAGGAGTCATGTTCCGTGAATAATAAGGCTTAAAATGCATATCTCCCCTCTCCACCAGAAAGTACCATGGGGCTGTGAAAGAATTCTTGAAAAATGAAACTTGCAGCTTAGTGTATATCTGGATTTGGATATGTTTGCTGGAAGTCTGAATTTTGTTGACACTGAGACTCCTTTATGAAGCTCTGAAATATGGCTTGTGCCTACTGTGGCTTCTTTTTGGTAGCCAAGTTGATACGAAGGAGATCTTCTAAAGGGAAACCTGATCCAGATCTGCCCGCATTAGGCAGGGCAAGATAGTAAAGCATTTTATCACAAGCAAAAATCTAGCTTTTGGTTTGTCCCATGATCTTTCTGCTGTCTTCTGCGTATGATAGAAAGGTTGGGTAAGGTAGTTAAAGCACTTGTACAGATGATTTTCAGATAATGTATGCAGAATTCTGTCTCTATATAATTTTTACTAAGTCTTTTTTAAACATTACAAAAAATAGGTTAAAAGCATAAGGCTGAACTAGTTTAAAAGGAAAAACAAATCCTTGAAGTTTACAAATGTGAAAAATTTCCACTTGCGCAATTGGTCAGTTGTGTGTAGCTGCACTCTATTTTTGCGAACAAAAAATATTGTTACTGGAATGTAACACTGTCTTTTTTGGCGGTGATCAGTAGTTGGTGGTTATACCAAGACACTCTATTAAACATCTTGATGCTCAGCAGCTATTGACATTTTTTCTTAAACATAAAATAATTTGTGTTGCGAAATCTACATGATATTTCTTTTCCAGGGCCAGAGCACATACTCAAGGCAGATCAAGCAAGTGGAAGATGATATTCAGCAACTACTTAAGAAAATCAATGAGCTTACTGGTATCTTTCTTTCTTACGATAACTTTCAATAGAAGAGACACATATAGCAAAAAGAGTGTTTTAAGAAGCTGATTTTAAACAACTTCTGTATTGGTTTATTGTTATTTTCCTCAAAGGGATACGTTTCTTTATCTGGTAACATGAGATTTTTTGCTTTGTAGGTGATGGTCTTTTTGACTGGGCAGGGCTAACCTGTACATATGATCATGTAATTTTGTAGTTGAACACATTTTTCTTCAAAATTGTGATTTTTATGTATTACAGTAGCATGAAACAAATTCCCTTTTCTGTCACTAGATAATTTGTTGTGATTTGTATCAAGCTGCATTTGAATAGCGAGTGAACTTCCATAGACTGCAAAAACCCAACATATTATTAAGTCGTGGTACCAGTCCTTGTATAGCAAAGAAATGTGTATCAGAGCAGTTAGCATTTAAAATCAGCTGATCAGTTATGGCAGTTACAGGAAAAATGAATTAATTCCCTAATTTTTCTTTGTTTCACTGGTGTATATTGCCCTGTTGCTAATCCCTAGCGGCCCTCAGTTTTGCCAGGAAGACCGCAATTTCTATTTTCCAGTAAAATCCTTGATTCTTTCAGATACGTCATGGAGATGGTACTTTCTGTATCAATGTTTTGGAAGATTCATTAGGGTTTTTATCTTAGAATAGAATAGAGTAGTATTATTACTTAGAATAGAATAGAATAGAATAGAATAGAATAGAATAGAATAGAATAGAATAGAATACTATTAGGTTTTTCATCTGTATGAATCCCCTAGCTTTTGGTATCTTGCACTAAAGCTTTCCCTCAATGAAAGCACTTGCAGAGTGTCACTCCTTTTCTGAAACTTTCAGAAATATGCTTGTCTCTCTCAAGCTTGGTTGTATTAGAGGATGGCTAGACTGGTATTTGCATGTTTAGCTGGCACAGTCACATAGGCCTCATTTCTTTAGGAAACTTATTTTTTAGGAAGTTCATCAAAGATGTGTGTGCATGTGTTTTGGAGATCTCAAAAAGCTTCCTGCAGGCTTATGTCTAAGGTCCTTGACGTGTGAAGAATTGCTGACGTACCAGTTAGCTGCTTCCTCCTCAGCCTGTCTGTGTTGCACACAGGGATCAAGGAATCCGACACTGGGCTGGCTCCTCCTGCCCTTTGGGATCTGGCTGCAGATAAGCAAACTCTCCAAAGTGAGCAACCATTACAAGTTGCAAGGTGGGTGCACTCTTCCTCTCTGCAGTGGAGCTGCATAGTGTTAAAAAGCAGATTTTGCTGTAAAAAGAGGTGGGGGAGAGCATCTGTCATTCGTCTCGGTGACCAGTTTGTCCCAAACCATGACAATAGCTTATGTGTAGACTTCTTTAAAAAATAAGGTTCACGTATTGGGCATATTGAAAGCGCTTTTTTCCATTGTGTCAAAAAGGAACGGTGTTATGCTTGATGATGTATTATGTACTTCATACCTGTACTTATTCCTGCAATCATTGATGCTATAATACTAGAATCACAAGTACAATAGCTGTTTTGGTGTATTTGGAAAATATGACTCTCTCACCTTGATGCTTATACAAATAGCAAGCCAGTTAGTTTGTCTGTCTGCTGGTGTTAATTGTATGTTCTGTATTAGGTGTACAAAGATAATCAATGCAGACTCCGAGGATCCCAAGTACATTATCAATGTCAAGCAGTTTGCCAAATTTGTGGTGGATCTCAGTGACCAGGTGGCACCTACTGACATAGAAGAAGGCATGAGAGTTGGGTAAGCAAAATCTTTGTGTTCTTACGAGTTTTACTGGAGACAGAAGCTTTCTCATCTGATCCGTTGATCATCTGACAGGTCAATGACTAACATTTCATATTTTTGCAGTGGTTGAGGTTATAATAATGTCTTTCTGTTGGAAGACAGTAACTCGCCCGCATGCTGTGCTGAAATCTTTTGATTTTGATGTCATTCTGACGAGAACCGTACGTCATGTACTGAAACCTCTCAGTTTTGGTCTTAATAGTCCCAGCTTCCAGGGAGCCCATGTAGCCTGCTTCTGCTTTGGCAGTCTGCATGGTTACACACAGGGCGGCTACAGGAAATGTTCACTGAGGAGGTGAAGCCGGTTACTTTTAGAATCAATATTTTGCCAGTTCGCTCTGTGGTATATTTTGAAGTTTAGTTTTCAAAATACTTTGGAATTAATATTTTTGGAAACTGTGAACTTCTCTGCAGAAGGAATTCCAGTTTCTAGCCCATCTGACTATCATCTTTAAGGGCTGGACTATCTTGATGCCAGAGAAAAGAACAGTTTAAGAATTCAGCTTCTAATTTACGGAGTTGTTTCTACATGACAGTTTAATTAACCGGTGTTAAAATAATAGTCTTCATGCTTTCTCACCAGGGTTGACAGAAACAAGTATCAAATCCATATCCCCTTGCCTCCAAAGATTGATCCCACAGTCACCATGATGCAAGTGAGAACTGCCTTTACTTATTATGACATTGCTTTGTCTTGTAATTTGGATTACTTTGGCTGGATTTTGTTGTGGGCTCTGGAAAGCCCAGAGAGATACGCAGCATCAGGCTGTTAACTTCTCGCTTGCCTTTTTGTTCTGCAGGTAGAAGAGAAACCGGACGTCACTTACAGTGATGTTGGTGGTTGTAAAGAGCAGATTGAGAAGCTGAGAGAGGTGGTTGAAACCCCTCTGCTTCATGTAAGTAACCTCCAGATTGAAACTTTTATTACTTTGAAAGTATTCTGGTCATCTGTTCGCATTTGAAAAAGAAAAGATAATGTAGCTGAATGAGAACACCGAAGTGAAAAGAGATCTAGTTTTAACAGGTGAAATCCAGCCTAGCCTGGTTTATACTGCTCTTCATTGATGATTTTCTTAATTCATGTGCGCTCTTTGATGCCCATATTCTTCAACTTGGACATAACCTTGCCTTCTGTTTCCCACCATTACAGCCTGAAAGATTTGTTAACCTTGGAATTGAGCCTCCCAAAGGAGTACTGTTGTTTGGGCCCCCTGGTACAGGCAAAACACTTTGTGCCCGTGCTGTTGCTAACAGGACTGATGCCTGCTTCATCAGAGTAATTGGATCCGAATTGGTGCAGAAGTACGTGGGAGAGGTAAGAGCAAATACTTGGTGGAGTGTGGAGTGATTTGCAGATTTCCAGTTGTGGGGACCAGATACAATAGTGGGTGCGATAGATGAACGTATTTGCATGCTGGAGAGACAAGGAGGGGGGAGCAACTGTCAAACAAGTCGCTGCAGATCAGGCAATTAGTTATAAGACCTGAAGTTTGCTGTCACCGAGGAGATGGATTTTGCAGTGCAGAGATTAATCTGCGGGTCAGGAGGACTCTAGGATCAGGATTCTGTTCCCAGCTCTGCCACTTATTTTTCACATGGCCCTGAGGTAAAGGACTTAATCTGTACTTCTGAATTTGAGAGTAGTAATTTCTCTCTCCTCTATAAATTGCTTTAAGATTTATGAATATTCTGTTATACATATGTGTACAAATAAAAGAGTTTATCATTGGAAACTTAGAAGTGTTTGGAAGCATGAAAAGTTGAATTTTCAGTTTTCCTTTAGTGTGCCTCAAATCTGTAACAAAGTCCTGATTTTTGCTTTCAGGGAGCTCGAATGGTTCGTGAACTCTTTGAAATGGCCAGAACTAAAAAAGCTTGTCTTATATTCTTTGATGAAATTGATGCCATTGGAGGTACGTTCACAGTATGTATAGCTCTAATCTCCTAGGAGAACTTTCGGGTTTTCTTTTCATGTTGGAATTCTTTATCTGTGTTGCCGCATTTTGAGAAATGTGCTTTTAAGTACCTATTTAGTATAATTACTACCAGCATGTCCCATGCCTGGGAAGCTATCAAGAAGTGGTTTATATAGTGGAACATATTTAGCCCAGGTGATAATTCATTTTTGCACATTTAGAACACCCAGATTATTTAAACTTTAGTGAAGAATCTCTGTATTGTCTTTGCAAAAACTACCGTTAACTTCAACCGCCTTCAGCTTCCAGACTGCATACTAAATCTTTATTACTGCCTGATTTTTTATTTTTTTTTTCCCCAAAAGGCATTACTTAGGTCCTTTGAAAGTACAACAATTTTTACACAGACTGGGGGGAGGATTTTGGTTAAGGGGAGGCAGAGCAAACAAATGACACTTAACAAATTTCATCAGCTTGGGCAGTGACGATGCAGGGAGACAGGCCCTTGCATACAAGGGTTGAAGATACGGTGTCTCCTGTAACTGAGAGATAATGCCACTCGCTCTTCTGTTAAAATGTGTCATTTTCAAATTACGCCTTCACGCCTTTTTTAAACTCACAAATATTTGTATGTAATTTAAAATTATTTTTCCAGGTGTTTACTGTGTAGCAGCTGTGACACCTCCTCCATGCCCTGAAGGTCCCTCTCTTATTTTGTGAAACACATGTGTCTCCTCTCTCCAGGTGCTCGTTTTGATGATGGGGCTGGGGGTGACAATGAAGTGCAACGGACTATGCTGGAGCTCATCAACCAGTTGGATGGTTTTGACCCACGAGGCAACATCAAAGTGCTGATGGCTACAAACAGACCCGATACTCTGGATCCAGCCCTGATGAGGCCCGGCAGGCTGGATAGGAAGATAGAGTTCAGCTTGCCTGATCTGGAGGTGAGCATGCTTTCTTTAACAGCTGAGTATATTCTGATACCAGAGTGTTTCTTCAGTTACGGTGTTATTGTCCGGAAGCAGTTTATGAGAATTAACAAAAGCAGCACTCTTAATTTACGTGAAACTACATGGAAATTTGGGGCATTACAGATGTGCCAAAAAGGTTTTCCCACACTGCACGGATTCCATCCCTGACCGAGAAGCCATGGTGAATGGCTGTATATTCCTGACTCAACAGATAAAGAATCCTTTAACTGGTTCCAGGATTTAGTTCTAAAGTTGGAATGTGTTTTGTTTGGCTCTTTTGAGAGAGATTTCTTGAGGTACTTCAACCATTAAAGTTCTTTTAAAGTTTTTTTTGTAAATGTAGTATCATGGACACTTAAATGTGCTAGTCCAGACACAGGAAACTGTAGCTGGGCAGCAAATAGAAGTTTGGTTTTCCATCTGCCCTTGCTGTGGGTGTGGACAGCTGCATGCCGAGAGTCATCACTGCTTTCATGGCATGAACACTTCTATCATCCACTCTTTTTTCAGGGGCGAACTCACATATTCAAGATACACGCTCGTTCGATGAGTGTTGAAAGAGACATAAGGTTTGAGCTGTTGGCTCGACTGTGTCCTAATAGCACAGGTAAGCTGATTTTATTTATTTTTTTAAACAATTTTGTGTACACTTCATCTGCACTGGTGGTCAGTGTTGAATTTGTTTATCCCTTTTCTTTCAAAGGCGCTGAGATTCGCAGTGTCTGCACGGAGGCAGGCATGTTTGCTATCCGAGCACGTAGAAAAATTGCAACCGAGAAAGACTTCTTAGAAGCAGTGAACAAAGTCATTAAATCGTATGCGAAATTCAGTGCTACCCCTCGCTACATGACCTACAACTAATATCTTGGAATGTTTTCCTGCTCCTGTTGTTAAAACTTCTTGTAAAACAAAAATCCAAGTGTAGTAATTCATGACTTGTTCTTGTAAGCTAGAAATAAACGGAGCATTCCAAACAGTAGGTGTGAGTTTGTTATGAGCGTGTTTTACACTCGTGTGGAGTGTTGCTGCTGTATGAAAAAAATCTCAGTGAGATCCTAATAACAGCCTAAACCAGTGAGGGGTTTGTTCATCAGATACCTGGGCAATGTTAGAAGTCCCAAGTTTAGGTCCCTAGTCACCCTTTGCACCCCAAAACCTATTGTCTCAGCCGTGGAGGTGGTGAAGGATGCCCAAGTGACTGCAGTGTTTCTGGGTGTGCTCGCAAATGCTTGCGTGATGCTCAGCACCCAGGTGTAGGTGTGTCCCAGGAAAACTCAGGAACTGTACGGGAAAGAGCTGAGGAGAAGGTGTACATAGCTCAGCCTGGGTGCTTAGTGGTCCGAGTTGTTGCCCAGCCTGGGGAAGACATGACGGGATATTTTTTCTCTCCTTGGGTGAATGCACTGGTACAATCATCACTTTTTTTTCCCCCCTTCAGTGTTTTTTTTCATCTCTTTTGCTAAGATCCTTTGTTTTTTACAAAATAGTAAGTAGGTAAAAAAGGAGGAAGAAGTGAGCATAATTTCTTGGTGCTAAGGGAAGGAGGATTCCTTCTTCCCGAGGTTATAGTTTGACGTCAGTCTACTAGTGCATTCTTTGGTATGTCATATTGCTGCTGTGCACAGAGGTGACCCCGGGCAGTAGCTGATGGTTGTTGGCAGCAGGTGACATTAAAAGGTTGATCTTTGTTCATCTAGCATGTTCCTACAGAGCGGGATGGTTTGGTCAATGAAAAACAACAGCCTCTCCTTTCCTTTTTTTCAAGTGTTGAATTAAAGAGGAGGTGGGGAGAGGAGAGAAGGAAAAGTGTGGAGAAGTACCCAGGGGAAAAAAATGCTCTTGGGAACTGCTTTGTCTTTTAAGTGAGAGAAGTTTTATCAGGTCTCATTTCAATAAAACTGATATCAGTTTATCAAGCTTAGATTGTGAAGCCACTTTATAATTTTGTGAAAGAGGAAGTGTGCACAATAGGGAAGGAGTGTATGTGGTACCTGGACTTTGTTAGGATTTGGGCAGTGTCAGCACCTTGATAAGCAGACTTGTACAATCCTGTGTTTTTGCCTGTACCTGTCCAAGAAAGTGATCTCAACAGTTATGTGTTATTTTGGTAACAACATTTTGGGGAGGAATGCAAGTTTACTGATGGGACAGAATTTTTTTCATTTTGAGCCTGAGAGCGAAGCAGCACTGAGAGTATCACTCTCTATTTACCAGGAGCAGCACTTGAAATTAAGTTTACCTTTTCCTTAAGAAGGATAAGTGAAGTATGTAAAAAGAGTTTGGATCTTACCAGGCATCGTGAATTACCATCAGTACTCTTGCATAAGAGGTGGGGAGAGGAACATTACTGTGATTATTAAGATGTAGGCAGTCCATGGCATTTGCTGTGGTGGGGCACTACCCTGTCAACACAGACAAACTGGAGAGGGGAAAGAGAGGAGCCCTGTTATGGGTTTAAAGGATGTGGGATTGTTTAATCTAGCACTGACAAGCCGTAGGTAGGATTTACATTGTTAGCTAGCAGCCTGTTAATCAGTATAGGGAAGAGGAAGTTAGTTTAATTGTCCGTAGACAGTGGCTGGTGAGGAGGAAGCCATGCTTCAGCTGGTGGCAGCAAAGCACAGGAAGAGCTGAGCCCAAAGCTGCCGGGCTGTATTTCACTGGGTGAGTTACCACCAGCGCAGGTGGCACCCAGGAGCGGGCTGCGCAGGCTGGATCTGGGACTTTCCTGGGCAAAGGTTTTCAGTCCAGCATTTCAGCAGCTCCCCAGGAAGTGCAGCCGTTGCTACCAGGCTGGGAAGCGCAGCACAAATTGCATCATCAGCATTAATTGCATCATTGTGAGGCCTGGCACTAGCATGGAGAGGACTTCGTGTGGGTGGGGGAGGCAGGAGGGTGAGGAGCAAGAGGGAGGACCTGTGTGGAGATGGTGGTAACCCTTCCCAGCCCACCCCTTCGTAAGACACTTGCATCCAGGGACATTGGCTTGACCCACACAGAGAGTCTCACCAAGACAAAGTGGAAAATTTTGAGAAGTTGTGATCATCACTTTATTTGAGAAGTTGACAGGATTGTGATGGAACTGAAGAGTCTATATAGTTAAAAACTGAAGCTGCGACAAGCTGAAAGTAGAAAAATATACTGTATGTAGATACAAAGGCTTGTTAAACTAGTTAACGGTATAAACTGTACCAAAAGTTGTTTAAATAAACACGCACAATGTGTTAACAGGCATTCAATTCATCCTTTGAACTCCAGCTAAGCAGTAATTTCTGATGCAGAAAGCTTCCTATCCCTATTGGCAGGGGAGTCTGAGGAAATGAAACATCTTCCCCAACTGCCCCCGGTTCTTGGGAAACTTGGTTTACCTGAAGCAAGCCCTAACCGCAACAGAGCTTGAAGCAAAATAAAAGCATTAAGTTCTGCATTCAGAAGAGAGGAAGTCGTCTGAATTCCCTTATGCACAGGACCTTTGATTTGAGGGTGATAAATGAAATGTCACCAACACTCCACTTCCCCCATACTGTCGAAATAACCTACCCAGAAACACTTTTAGGTTCCTAGCGCTGCTCAGGTGCGTAGTGATTGTTGTTGGGGAAATAGAGGCATTGAAGATTTTCTTTTGCTTGAGTTACCTTCCCATGTTTTTGTCTCACACATGAAGTTAAGCAGCAGCACAGCAGCCAGGTTGTGAAGACAACACAAAAAAACCCACATTCCTGTTTCTTTTGAAAACCCAAACACGTAATGTTTTTGAATTCTTCTGAAATTTACTTCTCAAAGCACTTAAAAGCTGAGGCAGAAGCAGCACTGCTGGTAGGAAGGTATCTCAGGCAACAGAAATGTACTTCTCTCTTTTTTTTTTTTTTTTTTCACCAGTAAGACCTTAGACCTTGTCTATGTTTTCGTTCCAGCTTAAAAGACTGCAAATAGGGCGTCAGTTCTTAATTTAATTTTAATACGCTTCACTCCTGCCTTAAACCAGTTTTGTCTTCAAACTTTGAAGCTAAACTAATTTTAGCTTAAAATCAACCATATTCATTTCTGGAAAGCGTAACTAGGTTTTGGCAGTGAAAGTACCATATTGATAATGCAATAATTAAACAATGAGTTTCTATTTTGAATTTCACTCAGAGTGAAAACGTTCAGGCAATGAAGAGTTGAGTATAGCTGAGACAGGTTAGACATTTTAAAAAAATAACTGTACCATCCAGGTTTAAAAAGAGTAGCAGCTAAATGCCACCAGTGTGAATTCATTAATCCAGCTGGCAGATTATTATAATTTATATGAATCTGTTGTATGCAGATGTTGACATCAGGCTTTAAAAGTCATCTAAGAAAGTTCTTTAAAGACACTGGTACAGTGCATCACAATTGCAGAACAGTTATTTCCTGCAAGATCCCACCTCACAGTGAGTTAAAGTGCCCGTTTTTTCAACAGGAATAGGAATGTCACCATGTTTATCAGATCCCGATTGTAGCAGAACACACTGAGTTTTCTGGTCTTGCATAATTTTGTGCTTGTCTGTCGTTGGAAGGCTATACCCTGATTGAAGGAAAAAAATTCAAGAGCGTGAAGACTTCCGATTCCTTATCCACAGAAAAAAGCACCACCCTATACCCGTAGAGACAAATAGCCTTAGGCTCTCTTTAAACTGTGCAAATTAAATATTCAGAAAGAGTCTCCATCAGCATAAATCTGGCTTCCATTCTGCTCAATGCCACTCTTCAGAGGTCAAAGTCAGTCTGTGAAGCAGACCGGTCTTTCACTTGGCAAGCAAGGACAGCATCGTGAATACTGTGAAACAGCAACTCTCTTGTTGCAGTATCATCAAAAAAATTCAGTCTTGTCAGCTCACTCATAACAGGGCCTACAAAACAAAAAACAAACATGGCATCAGTGCATAAACTCAAGTACAAAGATGGAACACAATGGTATGGAAGGAACACAATGGCAGGAAGTCCACAACTTTTTCTCTTACTTGTTATTACTTAAAACATTTAAAATAGCCAGGTGGATCACATGCTACTTCTACTGCAAGCAGGTAATTCTCTTATCCAGACATACACAGAGGCCTGTTCTTGGCAGAAGATGCTACAACTCCAAATATCTGAAACTTGGAACGTTGCAGGCTTTTCTCCTTATTACATTATTAAAACAATTTCAACATACAAAGTTTGCTGTGGCATTTACATTTTGCCAGCTGGAATAAACAGGAGCAGGATCTAGTCCTCACAGAACTCATTACATGAGGGCGCTACTTTCACTAGAGCGAAGGCTGTAATGCACATGGGCTTGCTTTTCCTCAAATCCAATTTGAATCCAATTTTATGTGAAGTAAGTGCTGGTACTACTGAGGCACCTGGCAGCAGAAAATTCAGGGCCAGAGGGAAAAAGATAAAACAGTCTCTTCCATAAACCTCACAAGAAAAAAAAAAAAAAAAAATCTCAACTCACCGCTACAGCTGGCAATACAGACACAGACACCAACTTCTTTGTATTCTTTTATAATCTGTAACAGAGTTAAACCAAAGTTAAATGCAGATATATCATGTAAACATCGCAGTTCTGGAAGACATAGGCCAATTACCGTGAAAGCTGCACAGTCCGCAATCCCCAGCGCCCAGCTAAAACTTGCAGAGCTACAGAATTAAAATTGTGGTTAGGTGAGATACTGGATTGTATTTGAGCTGGCATTTATGTCTCATGCTGACAGGTTCCCTATTAGGTATCTCACAAGTTTTTTATGTGTTTTTTTTTTCTGGGGAAAAAAAGCCCTACTTACTGATTTTAATGTTTTTGCTCCAACTGAATCCACAAAGTTCACCGGGGTGAAATCCAGAATTAAAGAGTGGATGTTTGGTTTTGGCTCCACAAAATGTTCATGCTCATCAGGAGACACGTCTTGTATGCTAACATCTGGAGATGCAGATCTTCCATTTACAGGCAACTCATCATTTGCTATCTCATGTTTTACACTTGCTTCCACGTCATTAGTCTGGGAGAGAAGACAAATAAAGCTTAATGACAGCCAATGCTTTTTCAGTGTAGATGCCCTTCCTCCCCATACTCATCTGTTCTTTCAGCCTTTAAAGGTGTACAGCGCTCCTAACCATTACAGAAGCTGGCTTTACGTGCACATGTAATTCCATACCTTACACATATCAAGGTTTATTCTCTTATGCCCAGCTTTTCTACAGTCACATGCAAGCATCTTAAAGCTGTTATCTTATGAGTGAACTGCCTATTTCCTTCAACCACTGACACGTGTTCATATGTTTTCACTCCATTTCCTTGCCCTATCCCTGCTGATCCTGTCAAGGCCTATATATTCAAAAGAAGCAACAGCAATCAGGCTCTTAAGTCAGACATTTGGTTGGTTTCCCATGGTAAAAAGCACACACCAGCTCCCACCACGGGGGTGAATTTAAACATGCACAAAAGCACATGGCTGTTTCAAACAGCCCTTCTCAACATACCTTCCTCACTTAACCACGCCAGGACCAGCAGTGTGGATGGCACCATTTTATTAGAGGGCCTGCTAATCTGAATTGATTTTATTATATCCTATTTCTGCATGATTATTCCAAGTCTGTGTGGAGAGGCAGATGTAGGGTCCCTCCACTTTCTGCTGACACCACTGCTGAGACAGTATGACAGTATGGAAAGGCTCTGCTCTGCTACCTGAATGTAATCAAGGTTCAACACAATTATCCAATCCAGCCATGAGCCTCTGATCCTTACCGGTGTTCCCTCAGTAGCCTGTCCACGCTGTGCAGTGCTTGTTCCCTAACCTTCCTACCCAAGTAGGACACTGTACCTTGTAGAAACGAGAATGGTAACACCAGAGAGCAACGCGTTACCTGATAAAGCAGAAGTAAATATTTATTGAAGAACTCACCAGTTTCAATACAGCTTTCTTTCTGGGTGCATTTGCCTTCTTTATTTCTCTGGCGTGCCTCTTCTGGGCTTTTCTCCTTGCTGCTAATACGGCACAAGGGTCCACTCCAGTCTGTCATGAAGAGACAGAAAGTTAAGAGGAAATTCAGCTTGTTAGGATGACCTTGCAGTATCAATTAGCACTGAATTCATCACTGTCATAAATTTAAAACACAAGCCTACATTATTCAGCTTCCCTTGGTGGGGGTGAGAACAGTATAAAGTAAGAAGGAATAATCTTGGCAAGCAATGTGTTAACAAGATGAAGAAGAGATGCATCACATTCTTTTCTTGAAATCAGACAGTGCCGTGTTCCAACCGAATGCTGATTTGAGTGCAGAGAGCAAAGGGGAGAGAAGTGCATTTGGGCATAAATCGCTAATACCTCTTGCTTTGTGAAGAGAAGTACCACCCACCTGTTTGGTATAAGACTCATCATGGGAGCTACAGAAAAATTTTTCAGAAGTTAGTAAGGCTGCAATTGCTCCCGGGTCAGGCAGTTCTGCCCTTAGCTAGTTCTGTTATTGCCACTCCCCCCGAGTCAAACATGGGTTAGACAGGAGGTGAGGCATACTCCGTATGCAGGTAATTTGCTGCTCATGAGAGGCACTGAATGCCCACAGTATTCCGTGGTCTTACACTCCAGTAAAGTCTGTCACCCAAGATGGAAGCTTTTACTCCCACACATTTTGTTTTCAGTTCAGCAACTACTTATCTCCTTCTGAAAAAAAAAAGTATGTGTTTGGCCAGTTTGTGCTCTGCAGTCACCAGACCTTCCATTCACAAGTGGTTAGTATTAAACTACACTGTCCATTTATTCCCTCCCACCATGTTGTGGCTTCCTAAGATGATTTGCAGTTGGCTGGAGGGTCACCTTCTCATATTTTACTGATCACCAGGTGCCACAGGCTGAGAAACACTGTGCTAGGGGCTACATTAAAGGGGCCGAAAGATCATAGAATGGTTTGGGTTGGAAGGGACCTTAAAGATCACCTAGTTCTAACCCCGCTGCCATGGGCAGGGAAACCTCCCACTAGAGCAGGTTGCTCAAAGCCCCATCCAGCCTGGCCTTGAACAATTTCAGGGATGGGGCATCCACAACTTCTCTGGGCAAAGACGAACACATTTCAGAAACCAGTTTGCATTTTCAAGACACAGACATTAAAGAATTTGCTTTACTCACCTTTTTCTTCAGTGCACTTGTGTATGACTCGCTATTGGCAAAATAAAGCGATGCATTAGCTTGAAATATTTTTATTCCAGGATATTCTTTAACCTAAGGAAAAGAATATTGGACGTGCACAGTTACGTATTGCCGGCACTAGAAGAAAAGCACCTGTGTGATCACATGGCACATGAACATGGAGCCCAACAGCCAACCCTGTATGGCTACCAGCCATCAGTCAAACAAAGAGGGTTAGCCCTGTCGTGAGCAAAGCCAATCGGAAGATGAGAACCTCCACCTTTCCTGGTGTAACACTGCACACAACCAATGCCATATAACATCTCTCCTTCTTCATAACAACAAAATGTACAGCCATAAAAAGGAATTAAATATTTGCAGTTCTCTGATGTTGCTATCTGCAGCTGGCAATACCACGAGGAAATCATGCAGATCTAGGAACGCTTCCTTTTAGCCTCCCACAGGCATAATGTCTTATTTCTCTCTTTCTCTCTCCCTTTTTGTTTCTTGTCACCTCAGGTACCAAAAAAAGAACCTTTCAAATCTTTGGTTTTAAAAAGGCTTTCAGATAGGTTTCAATATCACTTCTTTCCTCTATTTTAAATGAAGTAGTCTCTAAACAGGCTGCGCTCTGACATTTTACACTCAAATGACCTGCACAGCAGCAGAGATCCAGCCTGCCATATGCTGCCCACCCCGTCTTTATACAGGAGGAGGAAATGCTAACTGCCTTCAGTGTAACAAAAGTGGAGTTTCCTCTTCTTTGCATACAGCTATAAACATGCCCACATATACTTCTGCTTTGTATCGTATTTGAAGCAGAACTGCTGGTGAGAGAATGTTTTCAGATTATAGCATCATCTTTTCCCATAGGTTTTTACAGACTGGTGCCTTAGTAAAGGGGGGTGCAGCTTTCACAGCAGCAACTGAGAACATGGCAGAGGGCGCAGAAAATTGTAGTTGCTGTTTGTGAATAAATACAGCATGTTTATATCCATTATATTGACAAAATGTACTGCTTTCACCAACTTCTGGTTGAACAAAATGGCATTTATAAGAAGCTAAGTGCATGACAAGCAATTGTGCTATTAACCATGTATATTTAATGAGCAGGGGATGGGTGGAGGCAGGAAGATGCTGTTTTGAACAGTTTGTGCAATTCTGAAGAACAGATCAGTTTGGATTCTGGGTTCCATGGACTTCATGCAATACTGCCACAAAAGTAATGAAGATGGCCTCATATACACTTGTGTACATTGCAGGTTTAGCAGTGATATTCCTATAAACCTTATCATTTTGTACAAGCTAGTACAATGGAACTAGTATAAATGTTACTTTTGATCACCTTCTGGTAAAACGTACATGCAGAACAAAAAGCTAGCATTTTGAACAAAATAACTTTTACTACTAAAATCAAATGTATTTTATTTCCTTTCAACCCAGGGGAATACAGGCAGGCAGCAGTGTATGTGCAGTATGGTAGGGCTAAGCAGCAAATTGCCGCAGTCCTCTTTGCTCGACTACATAAAACTCTTCAGTGCAGAATACACTCCTACCTCTTCGTACTCTTCCACATCACAGTAGATGTCAGTGCCAGGAATCTGACCAAGGATTCTGTATTGAGGGCTAGAGAGAAATAGAAACAAATGTTTCAGTATTATCACTTATAAAGTGGAAAAACACGTGTTCAATACAGATTGAAATTTATTTTAAATGGTCATTCTGCAGTGCCTGTCTGGTACCGACTTATCTAAACGTGGTCAAATGCAGTGGACAGTTTATGGCAGGAACATAATAAAGGGGCCATTTGGTGACTAGACAAGTTTGCTTCTGTCAGTGCAAAACAATTGCAAAACGTAGCACTGCAACATTGTCATTTTCTGAAAAGCATTGGCCAAAGCATGCAAAGTTACCAGGCAAATTCTCTTTGGCATGAACTTGTGCAACTCCATTGACTGTCTTGCAAATATGGAAACTCATACAGGCAGAAAATGTGCTGCAATTTCAAAGAGCCACTCTGCTCCCACAACAATGCCTGAGAAGATGAATATTCCCAACTCACAAGCAGTGTGACAGCAAAGTACGTTACTGTTCTGTTTGCAAGAACAAAATCATATAGAGATGGCAGAAAAATACTCTTATTTATGCAGAGCAGAAATCTCAGAATTTGGTTTCGTTCCAATGCAGATCAAAACCAAGACTTCTATACATTTTTTCACCTAGATAACCCAGACCTTGAGCCTAGAAGCTTCACATGACAGTCCTATCCACACACAGAAGAAATCATTTTGCTGTAAGAGCTGGAAAGCTCCACAGTAAAAGCTTTGTCAATTTGAATGGGGAGAGAGGAGAAGTGATATGAAAAACTAGAAAGGCAGGCACATTTTTTTGATGAATTAGAACTTTCTTATAAATACCTAAACATTCATCTAGTGATAACCTGATATAACGCCTGCTTGATTGTGACAGTTAGTGCACACAAAATGTAATCATTTACTTAAACTAGCATCAAGGAGATTTGAAGTTCTAAACTCTAGGCATTATAAAAGTAAACAAGAAGATTAACCAATACAAGAAATCGAAAATCTTCTGTTTATTATTGAAATTGCAAGTTCATGGCCTCTAGAAATTTTGTTCTCAGAAAAATAAAATGTGAACCCTGGATCAGAGCCACAGCGCATGACCTACATTATGAAGCAGATTCTACACTGTATGCAGTTGAAGAGGGTGGAAAGGTGGTCTGTTTATCTGTACCCCTTAAACAAACAAAACCACATAGAAGATCAGCAAACACTAATTTTGATAAAGAAAAAAAATCTGACCTTTGTGTTCTGTAAATAACGGTTATCATTGCAAATGCTACCGCAGTAAGCAAACCATAGTCTAGTCCCAGGAAAAGAGAAGCCACAAAAGCTACCAGCCAGATGGCCTAAAACAAAGAAAAGCTCTGAATTATTATACATCCTTTTCTGTTAACAGCAAAAACAATAGCATATTTCAACCTCAAAACCGATGTATCACTTCTGTTCAGGAATAGGCTATAATGTAATCCATCACGACAGCAGACCCTAATTGCCTTAACATTTCAGAAGGGCATAAAAGCTCAAGGCGCGCTAACATAACATCTGACAAACTGTCACATATTAATTAATGCCTTAAGTCCAGTTCTCCAAAGAATCCTCTGTTGCCATCAGACCCTAAATATCTTAGGATAAAAAAAATATTCAAGGCCTGCAAATAGCTCTTACTTAACTTCCATCAGCCAGTTAATCCAGGAGAAAAACGCCACCAAAATGTTCCCTCTGACAAAACGTTCACTCTTAGTTGTGGTGCACTCCAGCCAGGTTTTTGCTTTGTCTTAAAAGATGGCATATACCTTCAAGTAGTTTTCTTTGTTACTCTGTTTTTCAAATTCTTCTCAGACATTCCCACAGCCTTCAGTGCAGTTCTTATAGCAACACTGCAAAAGCTTTGCTTTTACTGCAACCAAACTACTTCTGACCTGAGTTAAAGGTTGCTGAACAACAACAAAAACATTCTTGTCTGCAACTGATCACTGTCCTAGGGTACTTAGAGCGCCATGTCTTACATTCATCTGCAATGCAACACTGATTTGTAACTCCTTGATAAGTTTCTACCCTGTTTTGGGGGTTAGGAAGAAGAGCAGCAACAAATTTAATACAGTGAAATATATGCACTGAGCTGTGCATTACTCACCAGCTCAATCTTACTGGTTCTCCAGAAGTGTGCGACATCTCCGAACTGTTTAAACATTCCTTTCAGGTTCACCATGACAATTGCAGCTAACACTGTCTAAGAATATTACACAAACGCAATTTTCAGAGGCAAAATAAACCCAAAGCCAAATAAGAACTTCAAAGCATCACAAATATCTCTATTTCTGTGCTTTGTACAGCTGATATAAGTCTACTGAACAGGTGTTCCATTTAAAAAAAAAAAAACAACAGCTTTTCAAGTAGTTCAGTGGAGATATGCTTTTACTGCAGCTGCAGAAATGGCAAGCCAGAGTCAGTACAGTTGGATTTACTCTTTCCTGGCAAGAGAAATCACATATTCCTGAGCTCCATGCTGCTGCAATTGTAGTGCCTGTAGTGCCTGAAGCAGCTAGGCTATAACCTCAAATTCAAGTTTCTCTACAACATACTGCAACAATTCCTGCAACAGTCATACAAGTGTAACCCAAGGTACATCTCCTATAAAAAGAAACGAGAATTGCATATCATCCTATGCATGTCACCAGAAAAAGTGTTTCCTTTTGCTTTTTTAAAGTCAGGATATATTTATTTATGTAAATATATTTTTATACAAATAAGTAGAACTGCATCAAAACCAACTCATTATGCTGAGCCATCACCCAGCCCCAACCCTTTCAACACCAGAGCCATTACTTTCTTTTAACTTTTTAACGTCTTCCCAGAACTCTTATGATGCAATCAAATGGGGCCAGCAGGACTAGGGAAGTGATTGTCCCCCTGTACTTGGGGCACTGGTAATGCTGCACCTCAAATACTGTGTTCAGTTTTGGGCCCCTCACTACAAGAAAGACACTGAGGTGCTGGAGCGTGTCCGAAGATGAGCAACAAAGCTGGTGCAGGGTCTAGAGCACAAGTCTTATGAGGAGTGTCTGAGGAAACTGGGGTTGTGTTTAGCCTGAAGAAAAGGAGGCTGAGGGGAGACCTTATTGCTCTCTACAACTACCTGAAAGGAGGTTGTAGCGAGGTGGGGGTTGGTCTCTTTTTCCCAAGTAACAAGTGATATGACGAGAGGAAACAGCCTCAAATTGCACCGGGGGAGTCCAGACTGGATATTAGGAAAAATTTCTTGACCAAAAGGGTTGTCAAGTATTGGAACAGGCTGCCCAGGGAAGTGGTTGAGTCGCCATCCCTGAAGGTTTTTGAAGGCATGTAGATGTGGAACTCTGGGACATGGTTTAGTGGTGGACTTGACAGTGTCAGGTTTACAGGTGGACTCAATGACCTTAAAGGTATTTTCCAACCTAAATGATTCTAAAGGGGAATTGTTTGAATCTATCATTTTTATGTCCTAAAGACAGAGTCGAGAACATCTAATATTCAAAACACCAACAAAAAGCATGCTGGATCCTTCAAAATATTCTTCATTTCCAGTTTAACTTACAGCAAAAATGCATACAGAAAGTAAAAGTTTCTGGATCAAGGCCTGTGTTGCTTACTTATCATCCCACAATCTCCTTTTTAAGCAATACTCACTGGCCTCTGTTCACTGACAATGCAATGCCTAACCGGCAAAACTCCCTTACCTGTGGAAGCGGTTCAAAGAGGTATCCAATAGCCACAATTACCAACAGTACCATAATTGAAGAGAGAGTACCTGCAATCTGAACAAAAGAAGGTAGAAATGAATTTACAAGTGCTCCTAAAGGGAAGTATTACTGATTAGCTAACGCCTCTTGTGCTTTCCACAAGGATAGTTGTTTTCTTGATCCCTCCCACTCAGTTCATCCATTTTGGCTGTCGTGCAGCTTTCTATCCTGGCCCAATCCAGATTTGAGAGACAGGAAACTCCAGTTATTCCTCCTGGCCCAGGCAGAGAAATCTGGCAATCTAGCGAAGCTTCAGACTTTAGCTTTGGAGCTCCAAAAAGCAAATGTCGTTTGGCTCAAAATTTGGATTTACATACCTGAGTTTTCCCACCGGTGCTTTCCTGAACAAGACTCCGAGACATTGAGCAAGTGATTGAAAAACTTTGGAAAAATGATCCCACAAAATTGCATATTCCCAAGGCAATAAGTTCCTGTGTTAAACAATAGAGCAAAACAAAAGGCAGTTATACCTAACAACTGTAAAAAGCTAGAGCTATCTGTCCATATTCATAACCACATCTTATTTAAAATGCTTTCTAGCAACCTTATTGTAGAGAATAAGCAACCTTATTGTAGCTCACACTTGTGGTTCTCACACATGCGCAAGTTGATGCATGTTAAATCATCTGTTAAATAAAGTATCTGATGAAGTGCCACAGACATTTCCCATCCTTAAATGTTACAGTAATGAGTCAGACTGAAAACTAAGCGAATGACAGCATTGCTTGTTTTAAGGATTTCTTCAGCTTGGGGATAACTTGAATTTTAACCCTGAATATACATTGAAAATGGTTTGTCATACAAACACTGTTCTTTGCTTCCCACCCTAAACTACCTGTTTAGTATTATTAGAACCAAGAGCAGCCTTGGCTGTGTTTCCACGGGTGGTAATCCATTGCTGTACAAGAAAAAAAACAAAACAAAACAAACCACAATGCATGTCCATTGCTTCATCAGGAAGATCCCACATGAGAACTGTTATCATGAGTGAGATCAGAGCTCCATCTACCTTAGTACTGTGTTTCTGACGCCTAAGAAAGCATTTGCTTGTAATGAGGCCTCCCCAGATTACTCTGCATGCTGCTATTTGTAACTGAGGCAATTTGAGTTACACATATTCAATAGTTCTCAATGAATTTTTCTCTTTGCAAATGTACAATCCTTTTTTTATTCATTTAAACGCTCAGCATGCACTGCATCCTGTTCTATAGTTCAACATCCAGGTGAAGTAGCATCTGGCACCTCCTGAGGAAAAGATCTAGATACTGACTCGGGTCAGTGATGATTACTTTAACTAACATAAATAGAGCTGGTTCCATTCATGTGGCTATGGATTTGTCCTCTTCTCTCTTTGGGTAACAGAGAACAATGACATGAAGGATGAGATTCATCTGAACAGAAGTAAAATTCTGTAGATAAAAGTCCTTTAAACTCTATTTACTCTCAGAGGAAGACAACCATTTTGAGAAGGGGGAACAGCTGATCTGTGCTGCCTCAGATGCTTGCTCTAGGAAATGAGTTACAGCTTATGAACTCTGTCTCCCTTGACACCACAATGATATCAACCAATAATCCAACTGCAATATTGATTCTAAATTGCACAGGAAGGACGGAGTAGGTGAGGGTGACATATCATTTTAGTTTTAGAGAGTCCCTTAACCACAGCCTTTATCACTCAAACAATCATCAGAATGCTAACTACAGACAGGGCCAATTGCTGCCCCATAAAATCACAAGCTGCCAATTTGCAATGGGTGGGAATAAAAAGAAACTATAAAACATCACTGGAATTTCTAAACCCTAGATAATAGTTTTTTGACACATAAGGCATTGTATTTATCACTTGGGAACTCTATGCTTTGCTATATTATAGAAGGCAGAGATAAAGTAGCTGCCCATCAGGACAGCAGACTCAGTAACGTCTGTCCCAACAATTAATATTTGTGCATATCTCCAAGTCTAACAGAAGCAAGTTTTCCAAAATGAAGCTAAAACTGAAATTGGTCATTAAAACACAGCCAGAACTTAAAATAATTCATGGTATTTAAATGTGCAGGCTGTCAAAAACGTGACCTGATTCCACTATGAAAGAAAAACTCATTTTTGTCCAGTATCCCATTCTACTGTAACTATGTAACAAAGGTGCTACTGAGAATTTTCAACAAAGCAACCCCAATACTTTTACCTGATTCCCATCGATAGTGTAACCATGTTTAAGGGCAAAGATCTTAGCCATTGATACAGCCATTGAAAATCCAACTATTGCTATTGCTATTGCATCCACAAATATTGCTGGGATGAGCTGAATATCAGGAACTGCTGGTGCACGTAACCTTGGAGATGAAATAAATAATTAAAAATTACTATAATAAAAGCTACATGCCGTATCAAAAAAGTATGGTTTGAATAAGAATATATCATCCCTACCCTTGAGGAATATTCCCAACAACATCCACTCTGTATGACTCACTCAGATTCATTCCAGCTGAAACTCCTGTGCCAATAATTACCTAAAAATCCACAAACACATTTGTAAACATCAGCTAGAAAGAGATAAAGCCACCTGAAGAACTAATAGCAGTTAGCTGATTATGAATAATACACACAAGGGATTACATTTATTTGTCAATCAGTTTTCTAAGAGTTAGGGGGTAAAGAAGCAGATAAAAAAGAGGAAGTATCATGATTTTCCCTCCATCATGTTCAACCCCCTCTGATTTTATAAAGTTTTCTTGGAAACAGTTAAATGGAACATGCTATGCTATGATCTGAATCACCTGAATTCCCTTTGCCTAAGCCAAGCTCAGGCAGAACAGTGTATTGGGAAATTAAATGCAGGGACAAGTGAAGGACATCTGCACTACCATATTTTCATATGCATAACCTGCATGCTATCTGTAAACAGAACTGGTGCTGCAGCAGTGAAAAAGGTGTAACATCACTTTACTATTGCCTTACTGTCAAACAATACCCTATTACACCACCTCCATCATCTCTCAAGAGCATCCCTTTTATTTGTTCCTTCTATCTAGATTGTACTCGTACCTTCCAGTTATTCCCTTTCTCGGCTCTGATTTTGTGCAGGTTGAGAGCTCTAGTTATCCAAGACTCATTTTTAAATCAAATCACTTTTAAAGGTGAAAGGTTATTTGAGGTGTGGGCTTTTGTGTGTATTAAGATAGTCTGCTTCATCTGTGTATTTTACAGTAGTCATTAGAAACAGAATCCCTGCTACAGTCAGTTATCGGCCTCAGAAACAGAGAAAGGAAGGTTAAGTAGTAAGTCCTACTGGTTCCTGCTCTTCTTTCTACCACTGCATTTTAAAAAGCAAGCAAGCCCTGCAGAACCTCTGAAACAGGCATCTGTAAGCACCTTCCTTCAGGAGGGGGTTCTGAGCTCTTGGACTCTAAGTGGGAAACGCTACTCAGAGGCTTGTCTCACAGACAATCATTCAGGTGCCAAAACTCCAGGATAGAGGGGGTTGTACAACAAATCTCTACCTATCCATTGCCATAGGGGACTGTGGATGTTTAACTGGGTTTTCAATTCTTCTTTGGGACTTCACGCCTAAAACCCGGGCATGTTAGTCCCTAACCTTATAAGTATCCAAACCTGCAAGTGGATCAAGCCTCAAATGAAATATGTTCAACATAAGTTACTCTAAAGCTCAGTAAGACTTGATAGAAAATGAGATCATTTCTACAGCTTTAGAATAGTTACATAATTTAGCTATAGAATTTCACAACTGGCTTACCACAATGATCTCCATAGGAATAGGGACTGGGAGCTTCTTCTTAAACCGGAGATTGATTTCCTTGCCAATCAACAATAGGACAATGCACGTTAATCCAACAATCAATGAAGCAATATTGGTCGTTGTTATTTTTGAAAGCACAGCAGCTATGCTCTGTAACACAACAGAACTATCATAATTACACCATGAAGATCATATTTGCTCAACTGAATTTCTTTTCTTAGGAAATTTGCCACAAAAGAGCAAATTATACACTACTGTTCAGCTGAGTTTTCATTCTGCATTTATAATCGCAGTGAATGAGGTCCTCACCAAAAATCCCCATTATTCCCACAAAACACAGAAGTTTAGAGTATCTCAGTGAGGGAGATGCACTTGCAACCATTTACAATACCAGTCTTCCTTAAATGGAGCAAAAACTTCGAGAAAAAAACTATCATGAGGGAAAAAGTCTAAAATAAATCACATCTTTTATCCTCAACATTTTCACACATTTTTCATACTGGCAGCTACCTGAAAGTAGTAGGTGCAAACCCCTTCTAATACCTTCAAATATTCTTTGGCAAGTCACATCTACTTAAAGCTGTGTAAACCATTCTAAAACAATAAAGCTGCTGATACAACCATCGAGGTTACCATAGCAATATGATTAAATAACAGTGAACTTGCAATACTGCTGAACAAGCCATTATTCCAAATATTTTTTAGTTGAAAATACTATTAAAAGGGTGTTAGGAAAGAAAGCTTGCTGGAGCACGCAAGTTGGTAGAGGGTAAATGATTCCCATACCTCTTACTCCTCCTCCTTCTACTGCATTTAAAAAAGAAAATACAAAAATGACCTCTGGAGGGGTCTTTGAAAGAAAATGTACATACCTTTCTTTAGACAGAAGGAAAATTACAGTAATTATCAAGATATTATACGTTCAAGATGTCCTGGCAGTACATCTTGAATGTATACCTTCCCTCCTATTTGTTTGGCAGTCAGTATTTGCGGTTTCTGGATTAGTGAACTAAACAGCAAATTTAGGAATTAATCATTAGTGCAGCCTTGTTTCCAAAAGGTTTGTTATATCTGCAGAAATATACAAAAAAGGATTCCCACAAAGTATTTTCTATAGCGTCCATGTAGTCAAAATCCTGAAGCTTCCTTATTGCTGAGCCATTAATCTGCTCAAAAGCTTGGGTTTTAACAGATATCTGAGATCTTCTCTAGTATTGCACTCAGGATTTCTTGTCTGAAAAAATCAGAGCATCGATTCTGTGATAACAACTTGGGGGTTCCTAGACTGGCAGGCAAATCAGATTCAGATGCATTTCAACTCTGCCTGTTCATAACAGCAAGAAAAATAATGCTCGTATAAAGTTAAAAGCTTTGGTTGTAATTTCAATTAGAAATGTCCGTATAATCACGTAATTTGCTGCATGGGATCCATTACATTTTTTTCAGAGCACAACTGTCAATTTTATATTCAAGTGAACAAGAGCTTTTGGTTTTACTTAAGTCATACTAACCAAATCATACCTTTACAATGCATGGTTTTTATTCTGCCCTCTTGCATCACCATGTGTTAAGACAGAAGGTGGAAGTGGAAGATTAGGCTATGAGCTACATCAAATACTGGATCCCTACCCTCTCTGTAATGCTTAAGGTCTTTGACAAATAGAAATGTTTTACACTGAATGTCCTTATTTCAAAATAGTTTTTCCCACTACTCTAAAGAACAGGTATGTTTATGATGACATAGCACTTTGCATCCAACCACACTACAAAAGAGCTTACAAACAAGAAATGAAGAATACTCCTGTCAGGTATTGTGTGAGAAATTAAAGAAATAGAGACCTGGCAAGGTTCTGAGAATAACACTTCCCAGCTTTGCAAAACATGTCTGGTCTACAATGGAGCATTTTAGTAGCACATTTTTCCACAACATACAAGAGACTAGCTTCAATGAACATTATCTGTTCATATTACAAAACTGTATTTAGCAGAATCCTAAAATCTGCCCATCTCAGACTGTGCTGATCTATCAAGTTGCACCCAAGATGCACTTTAAGATGCTCATATATTGCTATGGCACTTAAAGATCTCATACCCAGTTTTGAATACTGAAGCGTTATCCTACTTAGTGCCAAATATTTTTTTTTTAAGTAGGAAAAAGCTTAATTACTAGATACAGACAATGCAGAATTTGCATGTTGAGTAAATGTAGTTACTCACATATACAACTGAGAGGGGTCCACTGTATCGGTTAGTCTTAATGCCAAGGAGATACTTTAACTGAGAAGTAAAGACATGAACCGCAGCAGCTGTAGTAAAACCTCGCACCAGAGGCTCCGTTAGATAGATGGCTACAAATCCAAATCGAAGGAGACCTAAACACAACTAACAAAGAAGAGAAATATTAACCATGTGATTCCCACTGTAGCCTGAACATCAGCACTATATAGCAGACAGGCCACAGGACACTCTTACCTCAATGCCCAAGCCAGATCAGGCAAACTTGAACTTGGCCTTTCTAAAGCCACAGTTCAGTAAGCAGACATCAATGCACCAAATCTTCCATGCCACTGGCAGGTGCAATGTGGGATATACGCAAACGTAGGTGTTTGCATGCATTTATGGACAGATTAGAGAACATCAAGTTGAGTTTTTCTGATGGGACAGGAAAAAACGAAAGGAGGGAGATCCCATTTTTCCCAGTTAAGCCAAGATGCCAGACAAAGACTCGCCTATCCCTCCCCACTTCTGTTATGTGGCTGCCACGACGCAGCCTGTATTCTACACAGTGCAGTGCTGAAGCACAAGTCTATTGACAGGGGACCTGTCACGACCCAGAACCCCTTGTAACCGCAAGTCTGGCAGCAGCATCTGAACTTGCCCTTACAGCAAACTGCAAGCACATACCTGGATAATTCCTGAAAGAAAGGCGAGAGTCACAGCTACCTGTACCCTCTTGGTATCCCTAGCATCAAAATATTCAAGGGAATCTGTAACATTAGTAGAATTATAGCCTACAGATATAATTTCATCGGGCACTTGTCTCACAGCAACGCCACCAACCATCATACTAATCACAGCAAAGGTGCCTGAAATAAGAGGAAGAGAAAAATAATTGGTTAAAATCCTGGTGAAGTTTTTTTTAGGAGTGGTTCTTACTGAGAGGTCTGTAGAATTAAATTATAATAGAGTTTTCTACCTAAATATTGTATTTTTAAGTCCCAAAATCTGCTCCAGTACTCGGTACCATTAAAGCTAGTTAGATGGTAAAAGCATGCCTCTACGGTAAGTAAACACCATTTTTTTTTTTCTCAGTTCTATTATGCAAATTAGAGACTCATCTTGGCCACAGAGACAACTGACTGCAGCTATGAAATTATAGTTCAGGAGTTCACAGCACACATTTCTAGATCTAGTCTGATAAAAGATGTTTTTCTATTCCTTCCTGAGTAGGATGGATAAATTAACAATAAAAAAATACTGCTAATGTTTGACACATTTGTGTTTCTCCTATTCACTTGTATTTGAATTTACGGAAAACAACTACACTTTCTATTTCTCCAATTTAATTTTTTTTTACAACTTTATTAAACACACACACACACAGACTTTCAGTTATCCATACAGATATACCTATTGATATGTGCTTGGAGGTTCCAAAAAAAGTATATAAAAAGACAGGATAAAATGAAGAATATAAGCCAAATACTGGTGGAACAGCTGCCAGCAAAGCATATGCTAAACCTAGAAAACAGATACAAATATGTATGTTAGGCAAACAACAGAAAGAAACCATCTGAAGTAAAAGGATTTAAGCCTACTAAAATTGAACTCACCTAATACAAAATCTAGTGACATATCACAGGTTTTAAAAACAAGAAGTCTTGCAGGCAATACTCTTTAATATGTATAATACTGTAGGGCAGTGCCTTAGAAACCTGATGGTTCGAGTCAGGAAACCAGAAGTCTCTAATTACAGGCACTGCAGGTGTGTGCGTATGTGTTTGTGTGTACACCTGTGCACCAGTGCACTCATTGTTTTGCCTTTGTGGCTGGAAGTATGTCTTAATAGCCAACAAACACTTTTTGTTGCTTTTGTTTTCATCTGTCAAAGAATGTAATTAAAAACACCCAAAACCCCATAACCAGTGGGACACATTTGATTTTTCTCCTCCTTTTCTAATCAGACATGATCTTCATGATGATCTACGACTGACTAAACACTCCCCCCTCCTCCCTCACCCCAAAACAGTGGGATGACATAACAGTTTATGTTTCCGCAAAACATGCTCCAAAATGTAAAATAAGCAGAGCAGCATTGCTTACAATCTGTAAGGTCATACAGCTTATACAGTCTGGTATTCTTCTCCAAAATGAAGTCCTTTTTATTATTCAGCCCTGTACAGTTCCATGCAGAGGAAGTGCAATCCATGCCATTTCTATGTGTAGGTGCAGCTGGCAAGCACAGCAATGGAGCTGCGGGGAACCGCTGTAAGGGACGCCAGGGAGGGACATCTCCCATGGTGCTCCCCCTCTGCGTGACTGAGCGTGTGCTTATCATAGGATCAAGTTCACAAGCAACACATGATAATGGAGTATAACTGTCCCAAACAGTTCCAGCAAAACCAATAGTTCTACATGGCTTGCGTTAGCTGAACAAATTAGCCTCGAGAAGAAAACACTGTATCCTGGCTTGGCTTGGTCTTTCAATTCACCTTTGCAAGTGCAGACTCATGACATCTGAGGAAGCTGTGTGTTCTTAGCACGCTTGGTCAGACTGGTTCAAGTTAGGACCAAAAGGCTCAACAGTCCAGTGCAAATTACAAAAGGAAGCAGTGGTTCACGCACCAAGGAGAGAAGAGAGAGTGATGCTCAAAAACACCTATCCCTACTAGTTTATTTTTACATTGAGACACAAAGCACCAGCTTTCCATGAAAGAACAAAACCAGGAAGTGATCTTCTGTGTCGTTCAAGTACTCTTGTGTAGTGTAATAGCTCACACAGCCTTGCTCATGCCCTAATCAATGTCTGAGTTCTAACCAAGAATTCATATTCCTATCGGAACTGGACTGATGATAGCATTTATTCTCTTTCAGCAATGAGCTCTTCATTAAGTACTTCTGAAACTTATCCTACATATGTCCTCTGGCCCAGGGGGTACCTCTCAGGCCAAGAGTATCAACAGAACACTTTGTACTATAACAGCCCGGCCTGTAATACGGTGATGAACTTAACAGTACAAGTGACCAGAACTGAAAATCAGTTGTTTCAAAAGCAGGAGGGTGGGTCTATCTGAAGTTCCTGATCTGAATACCCTTTTATTCTTTTTCCATTTCATTTGTACTGGCATTTTTAAAGGCTGTCAGTGCCAAGGAAGTAAAGAGATATTGACATGACAGGAGTTCACAGCTCAAATGCCCTGGTCATTGTAGTTCTGCCTGGAATAATTCCCAGACTTCTTTGATCTCATGCTTGCTATAATTACATCCACTCCAGAAAAATAAAAGTTCAACTTTTGTCTTTTTAGAAGGGGAAAGATTAGGAGCAGTTCAAGGGCATGTCTTCAGTCTTGAATAATGTTTAGTTTAAAACAAAGTCACAAAATTAAGTATAAAGTTCACTGCTGACCACTTAAATTCAAATGTCCTTATCTGGTCATCACATAAACTGTGTTTCAGTATACAACCAGTAATGTTTGTGTCTAGTATATGACAGATTTGCCTGACAGTTAAGCACATCACTTATCAGTTTAAGATCAGTTGATATTTATATTTGTGTCAGAAAAAATATTCTTAATTACAAAAAAATGCATAAAACCGGAAAGCAGCAGAAATAAAGAAGTCAATTACACAGAGTAAGTTAGGATATTCCGTTGCTTTAATGGTTGCCACCTATTAAAATATAGGCTTCTCAGATTTACAGATTCATTCTTCAGACTTGCCTTCGCCTCAAGTGGAACGAGCGAGGTGGAAATATGAAATAAGCCAAAATGCAAGCAAACTTATATATGCTTAATTACATTACACTTATGAGGACTCCACTTGACTGGGCTCTGAACAAATTTAAGAATTCTCTCCACTCCAAGACCCCCTGGGAAATCTACTGGGACTGCAGTAGCTGTCATGAAGCTACCATTTTCAGAGCAATGATGGCACCCCATAATGATATGGCTGCAAAAATGCTGTCACTTTCTAACCTCATAGCAGTTCTGAAACTGCTGATAGTAAGGTGTCGTGCTAGACAGAAAATTCCATTGGTCCAGTCCCCAAGAGCTGAACAGAAGAGTGAACACTGGCTTTCCTCTTCATCTTCCACAGAGCCTGCTCCTGCTTCAGGGCCAGCCTCCACTTGGGGTGAAACTTCCATGTAATTCAATAGAAGTTCCACAGATTTGCAGTCTTGTTATAGAAGATACTTTTGATTTATTTCCACCATGTAAATAATTGCCCACTAGTATGGTTCCAGCTTAAACTGGTGCCTTCTGGCCTTAAGAGAAAAAGAGGGATCATTCTCCAATTTCTTGGAAGTTCCTCTCTGGTCCCATTTAGTTTGGTTACTTTGCAACAGTTGCTCTCCTGAAACATTATGTCTATGAGATACTGATACTCTCTGTAGGAGATCTGGTACAACTTTCAGGATGAGGAGATCTGGTACAACTTTCAGGATGAGGAGATCAGAAAACAAGGAGGCACATTCAGCAAAGGTTTAGACATGCACTTAAACTATGATAAGTTGTTCTGTCATCAAGAGCTGTTAGTATTGATCAGAGAGTTAAGTTTCTTTCAGAGTTTGCTGCATATCGCTGACTTGCAGTTTGAAGGGAATCATCATTACAGGCTGGTCAGGAGAATGCTGTACTGATCTCCACGCACACACCTGAAATACACATCCTATATTCATGAGGACCTGCTGTTCAGGAAGCCAAGCACTACCATAAAAGCACACACTGAAAAAGCAAAGAGGAGGATAAATAAATCTAGAGACACACTCACCTTGAGGAAGCTGCATAACCCCAGTGCTTATACCTGAGATAATGTCTCCTAATAAGTATTCCTTCACTGGGTAACGAGGAAGCCATTTTAAAATTGGTAAGCAACTGTAAAGATGAGACTTGGCTTTCTTAGAAGAACAACTGAAAATACACACCAGAAAGAAAAAGTTAGACACTACCAGGGGACAAATGGGTCGAAAAAATTGTTATTCACCCCTATGCAGGGAAACAGCTCCGTTAACAGCAGGCTCAGACCCCTGATGACAGTAATTTCTGGACAAAGCTTATGCACAAACAACTATGACTCCAGTTAATTTAGCCCTTTATCACATGTTGGTTGCTCTTTACAAACCTTACGCAACTGGAGAAGAGAATCACGGTCTTGTGAGGCTGGTGGTCAGTGGGAAGTAAAACTGTTCAAGTCCATGCACGACTGAGCAGTCACACAGCACTTTTTGCTGAGATAATTCCTAGTAACAATCCCCTGAGGACAACTTGGTTTCTCATAGCAGTTTTCATTCAAAGTACTTTGCAATGCTTTTCCCTGCTTTTATTTACTACTAGTGTACTTTATACTTTTTGATTATAACATTTGATATTATTATGGGTTTTTTTAAACTATTATTTTACTAATGCTTGTTACTATCACTGGTACTAATGGGCTAACTTTAAGGCTATTTGAGAATATAACCTTCTTTGCCCTGAAAAGAAAGGCGCTGAAGCCAGTTAACACTGATCCTTGTGACTCTTAGCACAGCTCTTAACCTTTTGAAACCCTGGCTCATGACAAATGAATATAGCCAGGAAATATATATCTCTATGCACTACTGCCATGCATCATACTTTGACTGTACTGTGGTAAGAAAGTTTAACCTTGGATAAAAATATAACACAGGGACCATATAAATGCTTTTCTGTGTCGGGGAACTCCAGAAGAACGCCAGAGATTTGTTAACATTTCTGAATTCTCATGGGACTACATTGCATAGTGAAGAAGCTTATTGCTACAAGTCAGAGAGGAACTAGGCATCCACGCTTCTCCATGCTTGAGCAGACTGAATCACAAGAAGTCACAGCTCAGGAGGATTTTGATCACCGTATTTTTTTATTTAGGCTAGATCAGGTTTTCGAGGTGGAATTAGGTGCCATTACCATTAGAATGGTCATTTCATTAACCAAAACAAATCTCCAAATGTCAAATCATGTGAACTGGAATATTTTGCAGACAAGTAGTCAGGCAGAAGTTATTTGTTTTCTTGCAGAACGAGGTTCTACCAAGAAATTGAATCAACTCTGCAGATGAAACATGGATAAATGTAAAGCTATTGAGAACTTCACTAAAATAAGTTTCTCTTCACTATCGCCTGGTACCACAGAGCAAGAGTCGCAGTTAAATACATTTCCTTTCAAACCAGATGATACTCAGATTCCAAGGCACTTAGTTAAAAGCTACAGAATGCCTCTATTAAATCCTTATTAGACTAATAATTTAGATTTCTACACAGCTGCCTTACATTTCCATTCTTCTTCCCTGAAAGGATCACGTGAAGCACAAATTTGGCTGTAAGTATTTCCACGTAAAAAGGACAGATATTTTTCTGGGTCTTATGAATTCATGTCACATGATTTGACACTTCACATTCCTATGCTGCATATTTTTCCTTTGCACACTGATGAAGGCATTCAACTAATTTATCTAACGTTTTGTAATATAGTTACATGTTAACATATAAAAACACATCTACAACTTCATCAGTCTTGCTAAATAACCAAAGTAGAACTAGTGCTTTTATCTTTTAGGTTTCTTTGAAGAGATTACCAGCTATGTGCATGAATCAATTAAGAATTAGAATATTTCTAACCAACAGAAGAAAGATAAGAAAAAAATACCTACCGACAAGAATGTGCAATCTTCTGCCTTAAAGCCTGAGGTGTTCTTTCTCGTTTGTGCAGCTGGCTTTGCAAGAGCTCCTCGTTATATATTGGTCTCTCCACACAATACCTCTGGGTTTGCTCAAGAGATGCTTCATGTCCCTGAGCATGTTCCATAGCTGATCTCATGGAGCAGGAGCCAAGGAAGAGACAGTTCCACAGTATTCACTGAAAAACCTGGTTGCAGACAAAATAAGTTTGGTTAGTTTTTTAACCTCAGATTTGGGTTTTCCTTTCAAAGAATGTATTTTGACAAGCTAGAGGCAAGACCTGTGAATGCAGTTTAAAAGCAGTAATTAGTCTGTAACAGGAGTAATAAATAAACCACACTCGCAATCTTTACTTATGGAAGCCATTAATTTATGCTTCTCTTAGGTAAAGAAAGCTTTTGCATTAATTACTCTGTAAATAATTGCAGAAACAAAATTGGAAGGTTATATTAATGCTTATCTGGATTTTCCCTCCTCGGTTTTTAAAGGAAATGTCAGTGTTGAAGGGAGATTACTTTATTGCTGAGTTACTTCCTGCTTAGTCACAAACTGTCACGTCCATCTCCAAAAGACAGAACTCCAATTTCCACACTGAGAAAGTCAATTCTTTCTTCCAGATAGCCAGTTGTTTCCTGCATCTATCCACCAGCGTTCTCCTCCCTCTGTTTCAGAGGCTTCTTTTTCCAGACAGCATCTCAAGGATGCACAATTCACTACCTTCAAAAAGTTATTCTTCCCATGGATGTGCCACTTACTGCTATTTTCAGTCCTGCACCCACTAAGACAGGAGTCAGGAGATGTACACAATTTTAAAACTAGCCAGACTGTTTGTAAACATCTATTTGTCTATCTGATTCAGTGCCATAAATATCTTAACATGTTTAGGAGATACTCTGTTAATTCCTTTGCCCCGTGTTGGCTGCTTCTAGAAATATGGGGCAAGAAACATAACTCCAAATTATGAGCAAAATGACAGGACTGCTATATCGTTAAGCAGAGATGCTGGCTAGCACTATATTTGATGACAGAACATGAGTGCAATGGGAAACAGAGCCGTAATTGTGAACAAGGCCCTTGGGCTCAGGTCCAGCAAGTCACTTAAGCATGTGTTTGCCTTCAACCAAGGGAGCTAACCCAGAGGTGTTTAGTTTTCAGCTGTACATCAATAGTTTCCTAGAAAAGGGTTACCATGCAAAAATTAACAAATTGCTACCTAAACACTCAGACAAAGCTAATCAGGACTGGTCCAACGTTCTGATTCAGCAAATACAGTCTGCCTGGCAGCAAAATACCAATATTGCTTCCTCAGCCTTCAGTCTGACAAAGGTGCTGGAATTTTCCACCCAGGGCTTGCTGTTCTCTACCTTCCAGGACAGCATCTCTTCAGTTCTCGTTATTTCATAAGCGAGATTTCCCCTACATAGTCAGTCACAAAAGGATATTTTTACCAAAATTATAAATTTTTCTTTACAGCACGTTCAAGACTTAGTTATCAGCTTAATATGATACTGTTCTTACAAACAAGGGTACTATCAAGCTTGTTACCTTTGTGTACTCCTGAAACGTTTTAAGATTCTTTTACATCTTTCCATAGTTTCAATTTACCCAGAAGCCTGAACAACATTTTGTGAACTATTATCTCATGTTATTGTTTAGCATATTGTAACTCTCAGCATTACGATTTTCCCCCCTGCCTGCAGATTTTAAGCCAGTCAACATTAGAATAGGATCATTCTACCAGCAATTTCCATCTGAGCAGCCCTCTGTAGTTTTTTTTTCCCCCCTCACCTCCATATTGTCACATGTATCTTATTTCATATTTACAGCAATGCTGTCCATACTAAGATGTAAGTTTGGCCACTAACATTTGTAGCACTTTTTTTCCACATCAATGTCTACCTACCCACAAATACCACTTCCTACTTCACATCTTGCCCTGTTACAGACTGACCTACCCATGAACCCTAGCGTATTAACTTCTGGGCAGCGAAACTGAAACTTTAACCAATCTAATGTCTGCTGGAAGGGCAACACAGCAGGGCATAAGCAATCCAGGAGCCTTCTGAGGTACAGAGATGATAGCTTCCTGCCACAGGTGATGGAGGAGCTGACAAGACATGCTCTGCTGGACCTGATACTTACAAATAAGGAAGAACTGGTCAGGAATATGACGCCTGGGGGCAGCCTTGGCTGCAGTGACCATGAGATGGTGGTCTAGAAAAATGGTCTAGAAAAATGGTCTAGAAGAGCTTGCTGATTTTCAAGAATTACCCCCTCCAGACTCAAGAATCACAGAATCATTATGGCTGGAAAAGATCTTTAAGATCATCAAGTGCAACCATTATCTAACTTTACTGGGCCCACTTCTAAACCGTGTCTCTGAGCATTGTATCTAGACAGCTTTTAAATACATCCAAGGATGGTGATTCTACCATTTCCCTGGGCAGCCTGTTCCAGTCTTTGATAACCCTGTCAGTGTAGAAGTTTTTCCTAATGTCTAACCTAAACCTCCCCTGGCGCAACTTGATGCCATTTCCTCTTGTCCTATCGGTTGTAACTTGTGAGAAATGACCAACACCCACATCTCTACAACCTCCTTTCAGGTAGTTGTACAGAGCAATAAGGTCTCCCCTCAGCCTCCTTTTCTTCAGGCTAAACAACCCCAAGTCCCTCAGCCGCTCCTCATAAGACTTATTCTCAAGACCCTTCACCAGCTTCATTGGCCTTCTCTGGACCCTCTCTAGCACCTCAATGTCCTTCTTGTACTGGGGCACCCATAATTGAACACAGTACTCAAGGTGCAGCCTCACCAGTGCTGAGTACAGTGGGACAATCACTTCTCTAGCCCTGCTGGTTACACTATTCCTGATGCAGGCCAGGATGCCGTTGGCCTTCTTGGCCACCTGGCTACACTGCTGGCTTGTGTTCAGCCAGCTGGCAATCAACACTTCCATGTCCTTTTCCACCAGGCAGCTTTTCAGCCACTGTTCCCCGAGCCTGTAGCACTGCACGGGCTTGCTGTGGCCCAAGTGCAGGACTTGGCACTTGGCCTTGTTGAAGCTCATACTATTGGTCCATCCCAAGTAACAGCAATTCAAGCAAGAGTGGTACGAGGCCTGTGTAGGTGAACAAGGAGCTCCTGACAAAACTCATACATTAAAAAGAAGCATATGAGAGGTGTCAGCATGGACAGATGATGAAGAAGAACATAAAGGCACTTTGGGCATGCAGGGGCAGGGTTAGGAAAGTCAAAGTCTGCCTGGAGCTGAATCTGGAGAAGGACATGAATGGCAACAAGAAGGGCTTCTACAGGTAAATCAGCAGCAAGAGGAAGACTATAGAAAATGTGGGCCCTTTACCAAAAAGGTGACAAAGAACATGGTGAAAGATAAGCTTTGCCTCAGCCTTTACTGGTAAGATTGGCCTTCAGCAACCCCAGCCCCTGAGACCAGTGGGAAAACCTGGAGCAAGGAAAACTTAAATCAATGGAAAAGGTAAACAAACATTTAAACAGACTGGACACACAGAAATCCATGGGTCCTGACAGAACACACCCATGAGGGCTGAGGGAGCTGGCCAGTGTCATTACGAGGCCATTCTCAATTATCTTGGAAGGGTCATGACAACTGGGGAGTTTCCTAAGGACTGGAAGAAAGCCAATGTCACTCCCACTTTCAAGACGGGTAAGAAGAAAGACCTGGGGAACTGCAGGCTGGTCAGCCTCACCTTGATCTTTGGGAGGGTGATAGAACAAGTAACACTGGAAATCATTTTCAAACATGTTAAGGACAAGAAGGTGATGGAGAGTAGTCAGCATGGATTTATGAAGGAAAACATCATCGACTTAATAACCTTTGATGATAAGATAGCTGGTTTGGTGCAAAAGGGAACATTTCTTTATCTTGTATTTTTCAAGGCTTTGTAAGGCTTTGTCTCCCATAGCATCCTCAAAGACAAGCTGATGAAGCACGTGTTAGCTAAACAGACAGTGAGGTGGACAGAAAACTTGCTGAACTGCCAGGCTCAAAAGGCTGTGATTAGCAACCTGAAGACCAGCTGCAAGTCAGTTACTACTGGAGTACCCCAGATGTTGATACCTTGGGCCAATATCATTTAATATATTCATTAATGACCCTGATGACAGGACTGATCGCACCTTCAGCAAGCTTGCAGATAATACAAAACTGAAGAGAGTGGTTGATGCACCAGATGGTTATGCTGTCATTCAGACGTACCTGGACAGGCTGGAGATATAAGCAGACAGGAACTTCATGAAGTTCATCACAGGGAAGCACAAAGTCCTGCACCTGAGAGAAATAGCCCCATGCAACAGTAAATGCTGGGGATTCAATCATCTGCAGCTGTGCAGGAAAACACCTGTGGGTCCTGGTGGATGAAAAAATTGCCAGAAGGACACATTGCTGGATTATGTTCAAAAAAGGCCAGCAGCATCCTAGGCTGTGTCACACAGAGCATAGCCAGCAGGTTGAGGGAGGCGATTCTTCCCCTCTCCTCAGCACTGGTGAGCCACCTGTGGACTGCTGGGTCCAGCTGTGGGCTCACCAATGCAAGGAAGACATGGGCATCCTGGAAAGGATCTAGCAAAGGGCCACAAAGATGATTAAGAAATTGGAGTGCCTGGCATATGAGGAGTGGCTGAGGAAGCTGGGGTTGTTCAGCCTGCAGGGGCAGCGTGGCAGGGAAATTGTATCAATAGATATAAATACCTGATGCAGCAGGGAATAAATAGGCACTGGGCACAAACTGAAATACAAGAAATTCTGTTTAAACATAAAGAAAAAAAACCCCTGCAAGTATAATCAGACACTGAACAGGTTGCCCACAGAGGTTGTGGAGTTTCCATCCTTGGAGATATTCATAACCTGACTGGACATGGTTTTGGGCAACCTGGTCTAGGCGACCCTGCTTGAGCAGCGTGGTTGTACTCTATGATCTCCAGAGGTCTCTCCCAGCCTCAACCATTCTGTGAATCCATAATAGTCCCTTATGTCACTATTCACATAGAATGTATCTTTTCTGGTAATTAATTGGTGTGTTCTGGCAACATCAGCCTCATTTACAAATTAAGAAGCAATTTTAATCAGTCTTAAACAGAAAATCCGCTCA